AAGAGAGATGACAGCTTTCCTTGCAATGGCATACTTTCCCAGTGGGGGCGTTGGACCTTTGGGGCAAAAGTCCCACGCTTCTTCGCCAAAAAAGGGGTTTCCCCCCCCGTTTCGGGGAAAAATTCCTTTTCCCCTCCCCCGAAGAATACGTCCCCCGAGAGGGGGAGCAAAACAAAAAAAAGCCAGTCCACAAATGCTCTAGTGGTTTTTTGGAAAGGGAGGAAGTACAATTAAGAACGAATGAATCCGCTTAAAATTCATCAAGATTGAACTACGGCAATCAATAAGAGCGGCCGAATCTTTTAAATAATTGAGTAAGCTCTAGTTGTGAAAGTATTTCAGTCAAACAAGGGACTATTTCTGAAAAACGAGAAAACACTGTGGAAAGGCTGACGGACTTCGACATGAATGCCCGCACAGGCGTTCTTAAGAAAGCTAATGGTAAACTAATATGAATTCTTGTTTTTCACATGCAACTGAACATTCCTTCTCTTTAAGGATGTATGCGGTTGTCAAACATTGGTCAGTTTCCTATCATTTTGAGACAGAAGAAGAAGAGAAGAAGAATCAGAACTGTATGGCCATTGGAGAATGTGCGACGGTGGGAATGTGCTTCCGGTAGGGAAGAGAATCTCACAATGTAAAACATGTGTGCGCAGATGAAGGCACGCGTTTCGTAAAGGCGATTGTAGTTGAAAGGAGCGGTATCGATGCTGTCGTGTTGGGGCCGCGGACACGACCTGTTGGAGGCGATTGGCGGGGGGGGAAGCGGCAGCGGTGAGCCAAGGGAAAAGCTTTGGACGAGCGCAGCACGCGCAGCACTTCCTCGTGCAGCGGCTTCCGCGTCTGGGATAAAGCGCGCCGCGCCCGAATCCGCTCTCCGCCCGCCCGCCGCCGCCCCGCCCGCCGCCCGCTGCGCTGCCCGCGCCACCCGCCCGCCCCGGCCGCTTCCCCAGGCCCGCTCCGCCCCGCTCCGCCCGCCCGCCCGCACGCCGCTGCGCTCCGCCGCCGCCAGCCGCCCGCTCGCCGCACCCCGGCACGCGCCCTACCCCCGATCCACATGTCTTCCCCCATCCCCCGTCGGGCCTGATCTTCATCCGCGCAGATTCCGTCGCCTCTGCCTTCACCTCTCTAAGCTCGCTCGCTTCGCCCCGCCTACGTCCCCCATCACAACCGCTGCACGTCCCTCGAATGCCTTCCTCCTCACTCCTCAGCGCACCAAATACTCGGAAACTAATAATATTGAACCTGCTTAAATGGGATGAGCCGGTCAGATAGGCGGAATAGTTAGGGCAGATAGTGCGGGTTGGCAACCCCCCGCTTAGGAGGGGGTGTATGTTGTGTCTGCTGCAGTCTTTCATCTATCTATCTATGATCCACGTCAGCATATACCCCCCCCATCCGGCCAACAACCTGGGGGGATAATAATCGGGATTCAGTTAAATGCTGCCCCCCCCCCCCGAAAGGCACTTACATCTGCTGAAGCACAATGCACGCGCGGTTCGATTGGCCCATACGGGAAAGAATGGGAATGGGGCCCTTGCTGAATGCCATTCATTTAACAAGAATATAGAAGAAACACATTAACGTTGCGACCATAACAACTATAACTTTCTTGTGGTAGTAATGAGTTACTGTCATTAAAATGACGAAATTATGGTTGCTGTGCTCACAGTTGAAGAGAACGAAGTAACGAGAGCACTCGTATCGCTGTTGGATCAGCTCCTTTTATGTAGGCAACCCACCCAACTTGTATGTACTGCGCGTCAAAGCCCGAGTTTAATAAACACGCGTTGAAATTGCAATTCACTCTGCAGAAAAAGAAATCATAATCAAGAATACGAAATCAAGAATAAATTATTGATGAGAGTTGTTGAGAAATCTATTAATCAGAAATGTTCACTCCCGTATAATAGAAAATATTTTGCATATAAATACGAGCTACTAATATGTACTGTTAAAAGTGAACTCAACGACATGTTACAGACATCGATACCAAACAAAGTAGCGTATGAATATATACGATGTGTTTACAGAATGTTCTTCAGGATTGTCGCAGTGTCGTTGTAATGTCTGGTAAGATTAATTCAACACTGATGCGGAAAATAGATAATTTAAATAATATATTGATAGATGCACCGCGATCATTATTTTTCGCCTTTTGCGAAGAGCATATTGGTTCTTACTGTATTCTTGCAGTGTAATAGAATTGATTCCTAAGATTCGCTAGAGGCTACTAGCAGTGCGTAACCTAAAAATCGTCTATCTAATAGGAATGTGCTCAAAAATAAAATGGAAAATAAGTACAGTGTTTTCTTTCAGTTTGAACCAAATACTTTAAAAACAATATTCTTAAACACCGTATTTTAAATAAAGCAATTTTCACTTTCACATGTGCAGATTGTAAAAACGCAATAATCATACTTAATGTACTACAACTAATCCAATAACTATTTCAGGAAGGACACTTGTATGGATTCATACATTTTTACGACAATATCAACCATTCATCACCAAAGTTTCTTTTTCCGAGAAGTTTATGTATGAATAAGAATACTTCCCTCTTCCCGCCTAGATGTAATTAAATCAATATCCAAATTATGGAAAAAATGGCAGAATGGAAGAAAATTATAAAAACATTTAATAAATGGAAATGGTTCTTGAATATATAAACATTTCAGATTAGACAAATAACGGTAAAATCAATCATCAGTCCTCACCAACAAATACGCAATTCTCTGAATTGATGAACTGAATTGTAGTTCTCAGACGTCATCTTCTGATAGACCGCAGCTAAACTCTTGCACACTGATGCACTTTTCAATCAGTATATACAGGCGAAAACAGTCCCAAAAAGTAATTATTTTCTGAATATTTTGTTTATGGCGGTAAATCATAACCTAAAGCACTCCCGGCCCTCAAAGAAAACTGTAACGCGACGCCCTTGCGTCTTTATATAGTAGAATAGCTGTGTATTGGATGGGTTTCGCTAGCGTGATCCGTGAGTGAGCGCGCGTGTGGGTGTGTGTGACGCAGATTGCGGAGCAGGGCGTGGACCCCAACCTGCGCGACGGCGACGGCGCCACGCCGCTGCACTTCGCGGCGTCGCGCGGCCACGCGGACACCGTGCGCTGGCTGCTGCGTCACGGCGCGCGCCTCACGCTCGACAAGTTCGGCAAGAGCGCGCTCAACGACGCCGCCGAGAACCAGCAGATGGAGGTGAGCGCGCGCCCCGCCCCACGTCGCTTGCCCGGTCGCTTGCCCGGTCGCTTGCCCGGTCGCTTGCCCGGTCCCCAGCCCGGTCCCTTGCCCCGTCGCTTGCCCGGTCCCTTGCCCCGTCGCTTGCCCGGTCCCTTGCCCCGTCGCTTGCCCGGTCACTGGCCCTAATTCAGATCGCCAGAGGACGAATGCTCGCGAGAATACTGATCTTGCTCCGTGCTGTTTCAGTGCCTGAGCCTGCTCCTGCAGCACGGGGCGGCGGCTGACTACATCGATGCGCGCCCGAAGACTGGAACCAAGGACCCCAACAGAGTGAGTGCTTCTAACCCAAGGTCCAGAGCATTTAAACATAGCTTTGTCACTGTTCTAATGAATAATGCTTCTGATTTTTTCGCAAGCGGTAATAAAAAGCTTTGTTAATAAAAACACTTATATAATTAAGGAAGCCCATCTATAATAAACCTGCAAAGGTAACGAGGGATACCTTTAAATATTATTTTACAGGTATTTTTACTTCTTATTTTAGTGTTTAATGTAGGGAATACCTCTCACAGAATAATTCGGAACTTTTAGAATTTATCATGGAATTTAAATTATGCAATTAAATTTACTTTTTTATTTTTTGATCAATGAAAAAATAATAAACGTTAGAAATATTTTGTTGGCTTTAATATTGCATTTTATTTTCAGATTTCTTCTGTTATGATCTCCATGTTATAGGACTTTATATACATTTTTGTGTTCTGAGCTATGTATCAATGAGTATGATAAATTCACAACAGGTTTGTGTCTCCCTGTGTAGGTGAATAGTGTCATTGTAACTACTTGTCTATCTGGGAGACGCCGCGTCCCAGGCTCAGGGGTCAACGTTTCAGTCGCCTTTTTGCGGCCTTCTTCGGGGCGAAATGCAGGGAGGAGCTTCCCCAGGGGTGGAGGTCACCGAAACGTTGGCCTCTCCCAGACAGCCAAGTAGCTACGGACCCGTCCGCGAAGGCCTACGCTCTCAGTGCGGTAGTGCAATTGGCGCCCAGCGTGGGGTCTGGTGTGAGGCTGGCCGTGCTGTTGCAGTGCGTGGAGTGCGAGCCGGGCGGCGTGGTGGGCGGGGGCGGCGGGTCCCCGGTGCCGCCGCCGTCGCAGCCGCCGTGGAACCTTGCTAACCTGCACCCGCCGTCGTGGGCGCAGCGTGGGCGTGGGCGTGGGCGGGCCGGCCGTGGCCGTCCGCAGCAGGACGGGCCTGTCATCCAACGCCCTGGCGGCCGCCGGCCCGGCTCCAGCGTCTGTCCCATTGCAGCTCGGCGTCCCACCCGTCGTCCTCCGTCCGGCGTCCACGCGTCCTTGGGCCCCCCTTCGTTCCGCCGCCTCCCGCCTCCGGCTCGGGCTCCGTTTACCACCTTCTCCTGCATCAACCCCGCGGAAAGGTACGTTCTCCTCCTCCCCCTCCCCTCCCACCCCTCCCCTCACTCCCCTCCCCTCTCCCCTCTCCATCCTCCCTCCCCTCTCCCTCCCCTCCCCCCCTTGCCCCTCCACCCTCCCTCCCCCTCCCCTCGTCACCTCTTCTTTTCTCTTGCTCCTCCCCTCTATTCTATTTTCTTTATCCTCTCCTCTTTCTTCGTCCTCTCTTGTTTAGTATCTTTCTTCTTCCACGCCTCTCGTCGTCTACTTTAATCTACGTTCTTCTCTATTTTTTCCTCTTTCTTCGTTTTCTCTTTCTTCTTATCCTCATCCACTATTCTTCGTTCTGTCTTCATCCTCCCCTCCCCTTCCACCGGTTCTCCGTTTCTTCTTTTACTCTTCCCCGTCTTTCTTCCCTTCCTTCTGTATCGTCTCCTGCATTTTTTTATTTTCTCTGTTTTTGCTCTATGAATTATTTAATACATAGAACGGTTAAGTGTTACTTTATAGCTTTTTGTTCTCCTATTAATTCTTTAAACCTAATTCTTCAAACATAATTAGCTTTATTATTTATCTCTGTCTCTGTCGACGATCATTGATTCATTACTTTTCTCATTAAATTAATTCCTTATTTTCTTGCGCTATCTGCAAAACTAGTTATTAGTTCTCTCCCATTTTCTTCGTCTCAGAGAATATTGAATTATTCATATACGAATATATTAATACGTTTCTAAAAGTTGATTCAGAGAAAGACACTCTAAAATGATTGTATAGATAGAGATGCCGAAATTTCGTTTATTGAAAGGGTCTATCTCAGAATTTTAATCAGAACACCAAAATTCCATGAGTAAATCAACTAAAAAAAGATAACATATGGTAGATAAAGATTGTTTTCTTTACGTAATGTTCTGAAGTCTGAGAAACTCTTTTAACGTGAATGAATAATATCAGCTCAAACTCTCTATTAATGATTACGTTAAAACGTTAATATGACGTAAAGTTAATTTCAATCAATGTGAACGTAAATTTACGTTGTAACGTGAATACAATGTAATTTAGACGTTCTATTGATTTGAGAGTCTTGCTCATCTAGTATAATATTCGACATTGAATATATTAGACAGATTTTCAACCTTATTCCCAATACTATATTTAATAATACGGACTTTCACCTTTGACCGCACTTACGAAAAGAGTGTACTTCGATAGCACATCAAACTCAGAAGGAACTTCATCAGGAATGTCTAATTTCAATTTAATATTAATGTGCTTTGGTTTTTTCGGTAATAATGAATAATGTACTGAAGAAAATTATCAATCCAATCATCTATTACATATCTTACTTTCACTTTCTGTCTCATTTGCTTTTGATGCACTCTAATATGTATAATAACCTACTTATTTTACAGCGTGCGAAGGAAAAACGGTAGAAAATGGTGTGTCGAACTGAAATGGCGCTCTGCAATCAACGTTTAACTATACTCTTGCGTTCCCTTTATTGTAATATACTCTGATGAAAATACTTCATATCAGTGCGTACTACTACGTACTCTATACCTTTAGAATCATACGTAAGCATAATTCATGCACCAGAGCGTTGTTTAAGATTACTAGCATGAATCGCACCCACAAATTTTTTAAAGCAAAGTGGAAGGCAGATGAAGTGTACATCACTATGTGCCGTCAGTTCAACTTAGATTGAGTTAGGACAAGAAAAATGAACCATACATGATTATATTTCAATGTAAATGCTGACCCATTATCTTAGTATATTTCTTGTTAAATGGAACTAGTAGATCTATATTAGCAATTGAATAAAACGTGGCTTTATCTTGATTTTAGATTAACCGAGTACTTAACCTTCCAATTGTCTTTGGGTCGGGGCAATATGACTCGAAACAAAGTTTGAATCAACATAATTTCTTAAATTGTAAATGTTAGTACTTGGAGAGTTGTGACTTTGTTTTTGTTTGTATAGTATCGACTTCTGTAAACTCAACATCAATAAAATATTTGCTTCTTAGTAAAAATTTGATTTTACTAATATAACAACGAGAAAGCAAGTGACAAAGAATGAATCGACAATTCCTGTTGTAAAGAATAAACCCTCTCACATCATGTTCGTGTATATATATATATATATATAT